CTGTGCATGTCGGGGTTTACTCCGGGATGCTCCGGTTCTCCCCATTGCAACAGTCCAAAAACACGTCAGAATTTCAGCCTGTGGTGACTCCTGAAGAAGAGAACAGCCGAAAGAAGAATAAAACAAAGCTCTAAATCAGGACTGACAACACTGAGGAATTATTCCACCTGAATCCTATTTGTCCTCTGGCAGACCTCAGACAAGTGGAAAAATTATTGGGTTCATCAGATAAATATTAGGAAAAAAGAAGAAAAAAAACATCTCTCCTCCTTGAATCGCCACCTTATCGTGGTGGAGGAGTTTGTGTGCCTGAATGATCCTAGGAGCTATGCTGTCGGGGGCAATTATATTTGCCCCTGGTAGAGTCTCCCCAGACAGATTGGTCCTAGGTGACAGGCCAGACAAAGAGCGATTCACAAGACTTTTATGGACAGAAACAAACAAGGAGCTGTGTCCCATGACTGGACGAGAGTTAGCGGGGCCCCACCCTGGAGCCAAGCCTCGGGGAGGGGTTCGTTGGTGAGTGTTTGGTGACCAGATCTCTATCCAAGGGGCCTGGCCGGGCTCAGCCTGGACAAGTAACATGGGCTTGCCTTCTTGTGGGTCCACCACCTGCAGGAGAGGCCATATTAGTGCCGGCCCAAGCCTCCATGGGGCCCTAAGAGAAATTTGGTTTGAGACCCTCTATTTCTGCTAATAATGTGGATTACAGCGATCAGCAGTCAGATGATCAGACCATTCACCCACCTAACAAACACATTGCAACTCTGACAGCCATGTTGACATTAGTCAGTTTTCTTCACCTGAGCTACATATGCATCTTTAAAACCAGTTGCTCTGTAACTGTAAATCATTACTAAAAATAAAATAATAATAATTAAAAAAAAAAATTCCCCTTAGGGGCCCCCAATTGGCCCCCGGGCCCTAAGCAGCTACTTAGTATGCTTATGCCTTGGGCCAGCCCTAAGCCATATGAGTCGGATGCATGACGCCGCCAGTCGGGTTCTGACTCATCGGGTACCTAGAGAATTTTTGTAAAGTCTTCAAAACTGGACCAGATAAATCATAAAGTAGGAACTACAGTTTGTCTGCCATCGATGTGCCCTTAAATTACAAACATGGAAAGTAAATGTGACCAGATGCACACAAACCACCACCGGACTTTTATATTTCCACCTAATTCTTCTCCATCTTTGTTGACCTACACAGACTGTAGTCAACTAAGTACGGAAGAGGATTAGGACCAAGGTGCAATAATCCCCCACTCCCCTTAATTCTGAGACAAAAAAGTCAGAATTATGAGAAAAAAAGTCCGAATTCTGAGATTAAAGTCAGAATTCTGAGGAAAAAAAATCAGAATTCTGAGATTTTAAAGTCAGAACTCTGAGGAAAAGGTCATATTTCTGAGATTAAAGTCATATTTCTAAGATTAAAGTAATAATTCAGAGAAAAAGTCAGAATTCTGAGATTAAAGTCAGAATTCTGAGATATAGGTCAGATTTCTGAGATTAAAATCTGAATTCTGAGAAAAAAAATCAGAATTCTGAGATTAAAGTCAAAATTTATGGAAGAGGATTGGGGCCACGGTGCAATACATTATTTTTCTTCCTTAATTTTGAGGGAAAAAAAGTCAGAATTCTGAGATTTAAGTCAGAATTCTGACTTCAATTCTGAGATTAAAGCAAGAATTCTGAGATTAAAGTAAGAATTCTGAGATTAAAATAAGAATTCTGAGAAAAGGCAGAAAAAACAGAATTTTGAGATTAAAGTCAAAATTCTGAGGTAAAAGTCAAAATTTATAGAAGAGGATTAGTGCGATGATGCAATACACTTTTTCTCCCTTAATTTTGAGGTGAAAAAAGTCAGAATTCTGAGATTTAAGTCAGAAATCTGAGATTAAAATAAGAAATTCAGACTGTGGTCATCTAAGTAAGGAAGAAGATTTGGGCCAAGGTGCAATGATCCCCCCCCCACCGCCCCCCCTCTTAATTCTGAGAAAAAAAGTCAGAATTCTGAGATTAAAGGAAGAATTCTGCGAAAAAAGTCAGATTTCTGAGCATAAAGTCAGAATTTACGGAAGAGGATTGGGGCCACAGTGCGATACATTTTTTCTCTTTTAATTTTGAGAGAAAAAAGAAGTCAGAATTCTGACATTTGAGTCAGAATGCTGATTAAAAATAGTCAGAATTCTAAAATTAAAGTCAGAATTCAGAGGAAAATATCATAATTATGAGATTAAAGTCAGAATTCTGAGATTTAAGTCGTAATTCTGACAAAAAGTCAGAATTCTGAAATTAAAGTCAGAATTCTGATATTAAAGTAAGAATTCTGAGAAAAGGCAGAAAAGGCAGAATTCTGAGATTAAAGTAAGAATTATGAGATTAAAATAAGAATTCTGAGAAAAGGCAGAAAAGGCAGAATTGCCGGATGACATGGCGTCCCAGTGTTCCATAAAGAACTTCAAATCGTGACTCATCTGACCACAGAACAGTCTTCCATTTTGCCGCACTCCATTTTAAATTACCCCTGGCCCAGTGCAAACGTCTGAGCTTGTGGAGCTTGCTTAGAAATGGCTTCTTCTTTGCACTGTAGAGTTTCAGCTGGCAACGGCGGATGGCACAGTGGATTGTGTTCACTGACAATGCTTTCTGGAAGTATTCCTGAGCCCATTCTGTTATTTTCTTGACAGTGGCATTCCTGTTGAGGTGCAGTGACGTTTAAGGGCCCGGAGATCATAAGCATCCAGTAGAGTTTTACGGCCTTGAGCCTTACGCACAGCAATTGTTCCAGATTCTCTGAATCTTTTGATTATGTTATGCATGGTTGATGATGATAACTTAAACGTCTTTGGTATTTTATGCTGGGTAACACCATTCTGGTATTGCTGCACTATCTTTCTGTGCAACAATGGTGGAATTGGTGATCCTCTTACCATCTTGGCTTCTGAGAGACACTGACACTCTGAAAAGCTCTTTTTATACCCAAGCATGTTGTCAATTGACCTAATTAGTGTTAAATGGTCTTCCGGCTGTTTGTTATGTGCTCAAATTCCTTTAGCCAGCCACTTATTGCTACTTGTCCCAACTTTTTTGGGATTTGTTGACAATATGAAATTTTGAATCAACATATTTTTCCTTTAAAATAATACACTTACTCAGATTAAACATTTGATCTGTCATCAATGTTATATTACGAACAAAATATTGACATTTGCCATCTCCACATCATTGCATTCAGTTTTTATTCACAATTTGTTTAGTGTCCCAACTTTTTTGGAATCTGGTTTGTACCACATGTGACATGTACCACATGTGCCATGTAACACATGTGACATGCACCACATGTGCTGATGTTCCACATGCGCCATGCACCACATGTGCCATGCACCACATGCGCCATGCACCACATGTGCCATGCACCACATGTACCATGCACCACATGTGACATGCACCACATGTGACATGTACCACATGTGCCATGTACCACATGTACCACATGTGACATGTACCACATGTGACATGTACGACATGCGACACGTACCACATGCGCCATGCACCACATGTGACATGTACCTTCTGTGACAAGTACCACATTTGACATTCACCACATGTGCCATGTAACACATGTGACATGAACCACATGTGCCGATGTACAACATGCGCCATGCACCACATGTGCCATGCACCACATGTGCCATGCACCACATGTACCATGAGCCACATGTGACATACACCACATGTGACATGTACCACATGTGACATATACCACATGCGACACGTACCACATGTGATGCACCACATGTGACATGTACCATGTGTGACATACACCACATGTGACATGTACCACATGTGACATGTACCTTCTGTGACATGTACCACATGTGACATGCACCACATGTGCCATGTAACACATGTGACATGAACCACATGTGCCGATGTACCACATGCGCCATGCACCACATGTGCCATGCACCACATGTACCATGCACCACATGTGACATGTACCATATGTGCCATGTACCACATGTACCACATGTGACATGTACGACAAGTGACATGTACCAGATGTGCCGATGTACCACATGCGCCATGCACCACATGTGTCATGCACCACATGTACCATGCACCACATGTGACATGTACCACATGTAATATGTAGCACATGTGATATGTACCACATGTGACATGTACCATATGTGACATGTAACATATTTGACATGCACCACATGTGCCATGTAACACACGTGACATGCACCACATGTGCTGATGTACCACATGCGCCATGCACCACATGTACCATGCACCACATGTGACATGCACCACATGTGACATGTACCACATGTGACATACACCACATGTGACATGTACCACATGCAACACGTACCACATGTGCCATACCACATGTGACATGTACATTTGACATACACTATATGTGACATGTACCACATGTGACATGCACCACATGTGCCATGTAACACACGTGACATGAACCACATGTGCCATGCACCACATGTACCATGCACCACATGTGACATGTACCACAAGTGCCATGTACCACATGTACCACATGTGACATGTAACACATGTGACATGTAACACATGTGACATACACCACATATGCCGATGTACCAGATGCGCCATGCACCATATGTGACATGCACCACAAGCGACATGTACCACATGTGCCATGTACCACATGTACCACATGTGACATGTACCACATGTGACATGTACCACATGCAACACGTACCACATGTGACATACCACAGGTGACATGTACCACATTTGACATGCACCACATGTGCCATGTAACACATGTGACATGCACCACATGTGCCGATGTACCACATGCGCCATGCACCACATGTTCCATGCACCACATGTACCATGCACCACATGTGACATGCACCACATGTGACATGTACCACATGTGCCATGTACCACATGTACCACATGTGACATGTACCACATGTGACATGTACCACATGCAACATGTACCACATGTGATGCACCACATGTGGCATGTACCACGTGTGACATACACCACATGTGACATGTACCACATGTGACATGTACCTTCTGTGACATGTACCACATTCGACATGCACCACATGTGCCATGTA